AAAACTCTGTTATCTAAACTTGTATCTGTATATCATTAAAAAATACATTTTTCAGAAATCTATGTTTATATCGCTATTTTTCGATGCACCCCTGTATACACGTTCTGAATGCCCCCCGTAATCCACGCCAACACCAGACAGGTGCGACATCGGCGCCATCTATGCGCGAGATGCCCAACCCATCAATGGCAGCTGTCCAATGACACATAGATTCCGTTTGGTTTGTACAGCGCCAAACAAATCGGCGCCATCTATGCGCGAGATGCCCAACCCATCAATGACAGGTGTCCAATGACACATAGATTCCGTTAGGTTTGTACACCGCCAAACAAATCGGCGCCATCTATGCGCGAGATGCCCAACCCATCAATGACAGGTGTCCAATGACGTATGACAGATGACGTGTAACGCCATCTATGCGTGAGATGCCCAATGACGCATGACAGGTGTCCAATGACACACAGATTCCGTTTGGTTTGACAGCGCCATCTAGCGGCGGAATCCCCAACTCATGATTACAGATTCCGTCCAACAACCTGTCAATGGCGCGCGACGCCAGCGCCTCTGGTGGCGGATTTTGGAAGTTTTGAGACCGAATCCCCATAAGACATCTACTACTGATAGTAACCATATAGCTATCAAATGTTGTAGAAGATTCATATTACAACAGAAGCGGCTACTACTCAATGCTTTTGCAAGTAATTCGCAATAGTAAAAAAAACTATAGATGTGTTTTGTGGATGGTAAGGCTCAACACATCATGCCAGGATGTGGACAATTTCATCATAGAATCGAAAATGAAGGTTTGATTCCTGACGAATATCCATCCGCTTCGTGATTCAGCATGCCCTCTCAAAAACAATTTGTTGGTCCCATTGAAAGACGATGTCACTTAGGCAATGCCCAAAAATGATTCAATAAAAGATTATCTAGCACAAAAGACATTGTGGAAAATGCAATTCGTCTATTTAAGGAGTTTTTCGTAAACAAAAATATATAGATTTAATAAATATAGAACATTTCAAATATATATTAGTTGCAGCTTGTATACTGCATGATTTTTGCTTAAAATATGATAAGGAAGTTGAGCTAGATAATGTGACGAAAGCTTTGATGGGAGAGGTGGTGCCTTTGCAGAAAAAAAAGAAAGCGCATCTTGCTTCGAATGACATAGATTTCTGTATGGTTGCCCTCCGATAAATTTTGTTACATTAGTGGTGTATATAATTTACTTAATACCATTAGAATATGCTGTTCACCTATATCTTGTGTATTTTGTAAAATGACCTGTGTTTGTGAAGTGCACATTTGTATTTTGGACTATTTAGTGTCTTATAACTATATAGAAATAAAATGTTCAACACACATGAGTATTTAATATGTACCCGAAGGAATATTTTTACTATAAATTCAATGCATTAGTCTTGGTAACTAAGAAAAATATTCACAATGTATCTTTATTAAACTAAACAAGGTAACTCAATATCAATCACAACTATCACAAAACATTAACAAGATAAACAGGAACTCTGTGTGCAGGTACATGAAAAACTAAAGAATATTTAACTCAAACGTAAAACTCTTGAGTGTTATTTAACTGACACATACTATATATCTATTATGTTATGCATCAACTTCATTTGGAATGTGCAAAACTTCTAATAGCATCTGCTAAATTGTTGACAGCTTCTATTTGTTTCTCTTTTAACACGTTCGCGGACACTGACGGCATATCACGTCAATGAACTGTTTTCTAGCGGGGCACTGAGAAATGTTGAGGTGTGCTCAAAATGTCACGTTGATAAATTATTTCATATCAAACATAGAAAAATGAATCAAATAGCATTCAAACAGGAATTTTTCACAAATGCAGATATGATGAAAAAAAATCATGCGGTATATGACGTCATGTCCTCCTACGCACCCATTTCACTCACATGGGATACTTGACGGCATATGCCGCATGCGAATAGCTGCTTGTTTAACTCATTTAAATTACCTGTTTTCTATTGAAGTCATGAACAATAACCAGAGCAGTACAGAAACAAGTTTTATTATGAATAAGTATGTGTACAAACACAAAATAAATACATATTCCTTAAATTTTATTCATTGTCAAACAGCAAAATAAATACTTAGGTGCTTTCAATATAAGCGATCAAGCTTTATGCCAAACCTGAAAACAGTCTCCAACACAAAGGGATGGTTTTCCTATACAATCACGGCATTGCCATGCAGTATCCTTCCTCCTTTGTTCTAGGTAGCACTGTTTACATCGTTTGTAAATCTGTTTTTTACCTTTTTTGTTTTCTGGCACAGGTATAGCCTCCAAAACGTGGCCCAAATTTTCTCTACTTTTTTTGGATGGTATAGACTTTGTTTTTTTCATCAAGCTGACAAATTCCCTTCCATCTCTCTGATCCGGAGAGATCCCAAGTAAGGATTTTATTAAATCATTTCGGAACTCTTTGAACGTCTTGTTATCTTTCTGGTTATGATTATGTAAATAATGGGAATTCCAGACAGCTATATCAAGAAGATGAAATATAACCTTTTTATGCCACCTGATTGTTTTTCTAGGACATGAATGATAGCTAATAATTTGATCTGCACGATCAATACCTGACATATTGTCATTATAGCAACTGACCATTAATGGCTTGGTTTTTTTATGACCATACCTGTTGGCAGTTTCAACCAATTCAGGCTTATAGCCCGTCGTGATGGATAAGATATCACGTTTGTCGCGCCATTTGGAAACATACACATTTCCCTTTCTTCTCCAAATATGCTGCCCGGATTTCAACTTGGCTCCAGTAACCTCTTTGGGATTACCTTTTCTATTCGAGCGTAATGTCCCCGTGCTGTGAGTTTTCCTTTGCAATAGGATTTCCGATAACTGGACACTGTTATAAAAGTTATCCATGTATATATGGTGGCCTTTATCTAGAAATGGCTCCAGAAGCCTAAGAACTAAAGAATTTCTTTTAGAACTGCCACTGACATCTTCTCTATTAGATTTACCTTTATAAATTTCTATATTTAGGACATATCCGTCATTGGAACACAGCTCATAGAACTTAATCCCATATTTACTTTTTTTGTTTTTTATGTAAACCCGAAACCGTAATCGGCCTCGGAAAAGTAACAGTGATTCATCTAGAGATAAGGCTTCTGGCGGAGAAAACATATTTTGGTTTGACTGAATGATAGATTTCACAAGCGAACTAACTTTATAGAGATTATCCTCCTTATTTTCATCATCTGCACAATTCAAGCACCTCAGAATCTGTTCAAATCGTCTACCTGTCATAGTAGCCGGGAATATTGGATGATAATTGAGAGGATCCAGTGAAAACATGTCCCTAATAGACTATAACTTCAACTGGCCAGCAAGGAGACACAAACCGAGAAAACCTTTCATTTCTTTTACGGAAATATGTTGAAATGTCTTGAATCGCTCATTTCTGGACTTAGGCCTATTGCCCACAAATAATAAGTCACCATATTTATTTGACTTTTGAACAACGTAATTAGTCACATCCACAGTCCAAATTTTTTCAAAAGCCTCAATTGGAGGCTTGCCTGCTAGCTGTTCTTTGACACCAACTGATATGGAATCACAGGAAAACTCTAAACAATCGATTATGTTATCTTCCCATTTTTATTAATCGTTGTCTGAATCTAATAGAACATCGATATCATCAGAGCCCTCGCTATCGACATGTCCTGACGGCAAATCAAGTTTTGATTTAGGTTCTTTCCGTTTACGCTTTTTTCGTGATGTTCCAGCTAAAATTTACAAACAAACGTAACTAATGTGTATGGGAAAAATGAGCATCAACTTACGCTCATCATTGTTTGGAATATTCTCGTATTCTGAATCAGTACAAGAGTCTGAGTCCTGTTGCATATATTCTGGATCAGCAATGGAGTCATCTGTACTATATGGATCATGTCTGCTTTCATCTTCGCTCTCACACTCTTCATACCAGCGCATCCACTGCTCTCTATATTTATCGTCCATTTTGCTGTAGCTCGAATGCATACATCCGCTCTCGATAATACTTTCGTTGATGGTTGAGATTGGGCTCTGTGGTGATGTCCACTGGAGGCTTTATTACCGAACGCCCTATCCATTATTTCAAACTATTCCCACGTGATTTGTCATTCACCTGTTCTTTTTCCTTTATTTTGCCTGTAAGTCTAAAGCAAATTCCGATGTTTTGCATAGCAGTCATTTCCACATACACCGTATTTTCCAACTTTATTCATTTCGTCAGTTATTTGGCTCCATAGTTTCATTTTTCTAAAGACTGGCTTATTGAATTCCTCCTCTTTTCCTAGTCGCAATAATAATCTCACTGCACCACTAGTCCAGCAATGTAGGTTTTCTTTATTTCTTTGAGGATTTATCAACATAAAAACAATACTTTGTATTATTCACAAATTTCAGTTCGACCCTGACCAAAATTGCCTTGATTGATATCGAGCGTAACTCTACATTTTCGATCAATTTAAATAGTGAAAAATAACCATGAATTTCTGCAAGATCATCAGTGCAACAACTCAAGCCCATACCGAAACATTGTGAGTAATTTCATCTCGATTACATAATAAATAGGATCTGAATTCGAAGTATTCCCATCGCATAGCTACCTTAGTGTGCTAGCACGAAAAATTCCTAAACAAACATTTTCGGATAGACATATCCGTATCTAGAAATGATACGGCATCCGCCTGGGAAAAATCTCACAAAATCATGATGCCATCTAATAACCAAGCTTCATCTTACAATGTCACAACAGTTCAATCCTACTCAAACGTATTATCACAGAATACAATTAGATACCCGAGCAACGATCAAGCAATCATACTCAATTCCGCGAATGGAGTGAAACTGCAGGACTATCTGCTGGAAATCGGCCCGATAGTCAATCCGAAAAATATATTGTTCTGCTCCAGAATTTCTAACAACAGAATATGTATTTATTTAGCAAATGAACATCTAGTAGACACATTTCTTGAGCACCATGGAGAAATAGAAGTAAACGGTGAGACCATAAAAGCACGACGACTAATATCACCCTCCGACCGCTTAGTAATGTCAAACGTAAGCCCTACAGTTCCTCACTCAGTTTTAAACGAAAAACTATTACAACTAGGACTAAAACTAGTGTCGCCCATCTCCTTTCTAAGAATGGGAGCTCCACTCCCAGAGTATAGCCATATCCTGAGTTTCAGAAGACAAGTATACATTGAGCCCAATCAGCAATCCCTAAACATTCCAGAATCCGTTAAAATAGTTCACGAAGAAATAAGTTACCGCATCTTTCTATCACTAGATAGCCAAAAGTGCTTCAAATGTAGCAAACAAGGTCATGTAGCTTCCCAATGTCCATCATCATCTCATCAACAACACACAACAACGCCAGAAATCCAATCGCCTAACCAACAGGAATCAACAAGCACCACCCATAGAAACAATCCACAATCCATAAGCTCAGCTCAAGTCCGAGAAACAACACCTCAACACTTACTTAATTTACAAAAACCTGAAGCTGAACCGTCTAAAAGTCAAGTGTCAACTGACACAACTCTAACGCATGTAACGCTATGCCAAGAGCCAGCATCAAACTACCAATTTAATACATGGCAAAACCAACCGGAGGAGCAGAACGCAGCATACAGCGAAGAGATGACTACGCAAAGCAGCTCATCTTCGAAACGATATTTTTCAGAAACTATTTCACCAACCACACCCACACATGACACAGACCCCACAAATCCTCCTATATTTGCAGCTCCCGCAAGCATGAAAGTAAAGAAACATAAAACAGATATACAGCCATCCTACGTCTCACAAAACGCGATAACAAGTGTTAAAACATTCATTGACAATCACATGCCCCTCTTCCTTTGAATAGTGATCAATTCAAAAGTCTCCTTGAAAATACTCATGGAACTCAAGATATTACAAATAGCGTCCAGGATTATACAACTGATTTTAAAGGCCTTGTAGAAATGATACTATTAGTATATCCTCACATTACTGATAGAACAGTCAAAAACAGATGTACAAGACTCCGTAACAAAACTGGAACGTTACATAGACATCAATACTAATGCCTTAGTGACACCTCTTCGTTGGATTCATCAACGTTCTAATATATACTCGAAAAATTATAATGAATATAGGAATCACATCGTTGTTGCAGTGGAATCTGAATGGGTATTAAAGCCACTTGAATATGTTACAGAAACTTATATCAGATCAAAATCCAGACATAATCTGCTTACAAGAAACCCACTTTGTTGATACCAACATTCATACACCACAACATTACATGGGATTCTTCAAGAACCGCAGTTACACAACAAACCGCATAGCTAGTGGTGGTACTGCTATATATGTTAAGAATAATATAGTAGCTAGCCCCATAAACTTAATAACGCAACTTGAGGCAGTTGCTATTACAATAGAAGCTCCCCAGAACCTCAGCATCTGTAGCATATATATATACCGCCCAACTATCACTTAGATACTAACGAGCTAGAGATGCTACTACAACAAATACCATCTCCTCGAATCATCATGGGAGACTTCAACGCTCATCATCATATTTGGGGTTCCAAAAAACACAACGCGCGTGGTTTAATAGTGAAAAACATACTAGATACAACCGATCTTAGCATACTGAATGATGGTACAGAAACAAGACTGGATCTGGGAACCGGAACAATGTCTTCAATAGACCTTAGCTTATGCACAACAAACCTGATAACTTCACTACAGTGGCCAGTTCTGGATGATCTATTTGGGAGTGATCACTTCCCTATTATAATATCCAACTCAGAGAACCAAAATAATACCACACCACTTGAAAAATGGAATTTGAATAAAGCAAATTGGTTGCAGTTTTCGGATCATATAGAACAAAACATTCAAGACGTTCAAATACAAAATGACATCAACCAAACCATATCCAACTTCAACAGCATCATCTTGGATGCAGCTCAAAATTGGATAGGAAAAACCAAGACAATGATGAACAAAAATCCCGTCCCATGGTGGAACGAAGAGTGCTCCACAGCAATAAGAGCAACCAAGAAAGCTGTAAATACTTTCAAACGACACAGAACTACTGCAAACTTGGTAGATTTGAAACGAAAACGGGCACATGCAAAGAAACAAAGAAAAATCAGAAAGATTCCTGGAAAAAATTTGTTAGCAGTATCAATAGTTCGACACCACTATCAACAGTCTGGAAGAAGATCAAAAGCATACTTGGGGCCAAGTCCTATTCATCAATAAAATGCTTGAAAGATGGAAATACGACACATACAAAAAATGATGCAATAGTTGAAGTACTTAGTCAAACTTACCAGAAAAGCTCCAGCAACCAAAATTACAGCGATGATTTCCTCAAATACAATGCAGAAGTAGAAGCAGTACCAATAACAATACAAAACAACCAAAACCCTGTGAATACACCAATTTCAGAACTCGAAATGGAAGAAGCACTCAATGACTTAAAGGAAACTTCGGCAGGCCCTGACGATATACCTACAATATTTCTAAAAAACCTACCCCAAGTAGCTAAGCAATATTTACTAACAATCTTCAACAAAATCTGGACAGAACATGTATTTTCTGACATATGGCACCAAGCAATTACGATACCTATACTGAAACTTACCAAATCACCTCTTGCACCAGAATGTTACAGGCCAATAACTCTAACATGTGCTATGTGTAAACTTCTAGAGAGAATCGTCAATAAAAGGCTGCTATGGAGCCTAGAAAATACGAATCGTCTAAAAAATGGACAATCTGGGTTTAGACAAAACAGATCCACAATAGACAACGCAATTGACTTGGAAACATACATTCATGAAGCTTTTGATAACAAGCAGCATTGCCTAGCAGTTTACTTTGATATGACAAAAGCATTTGACACTACTTGGAAGTATGACATCATCTCGAAACTACAGGCAATGTATCCTTGGAACGATCACAAGAAATCAAATTTCTTGGACTTATATTCGATCACCGATTGATATGGAAAAAGCACATAGAATATCTAGTTAAATCATGTGAAAAAAGGATGACCGTACTAAAATATTAAGCCAACAGACACTGGGGAGCAGAGGGTAAAACCCTTCTCAGCATCTACCGATCACTGATAAGAGCTAAAATTGACTATGGGAGCATAATTTATGCCTCAGCCAGTGGTTCCACTCTCAAGCCATTAGACAGTATACACCATAGAGCATTGCGCTTAATACTCGGAGCATTTAGAACAACACCAATCCAAAGCTTATATTGTGAAGCCAGTGAACTATCGCTGAATGACAGAA